CTGAATCGACTTTTCAATTCTCTATCCAACGATGCCAAAACGAATTCTGTGGCTCGAATGGTTCTTGAGAAACTTCGAATAAAGGCCATTCAGTTATCTCCGGAATTATGTAAAAATGAGCGTTCTTGCTCATTTTGCTTCCGAGAAACATGCAAAAAAACGACGATCATTTTTCTAATTTCATAGATAACAGAAGACTGTATTTTTTCTACATAACCCCCCGCCCTGACTTTAAAGCTGGATCCGCCCCTGCGTGAAACAGAATGTTAACTCCCAGATTTTTAAAAGAAGTTAGCTGGACATATGAATCTTCATCTTTTTGAAAAAAGGGTTGAGCCACTTACATACAATCTTTAGAAAATCAAAAGAGTGAGAATTGGGCCATGTGGCTTGATGAACCATCTTTCTCAAAAATCCTCACATTTTTGTTAATGTTTGTGAATAAGTTAAAGATAAGATTGGCATACGTTACCTAGGCGTAAGCCTAACGGATGAAGACGTGAATTTTGAACAATTCAAAAAAGAATTTAAAACACCAAATCAGTGAAAATTTCCAAATATTCTGCCTTTACATGACGCATTTTCGACCATCCGATTTCACTTTTTTTCACATTGTATGGAGAATTTCTTTAAAGCGATGTTCCTTTCGGTGGGGGTGCCATTTGAAATTTCAATGTGAAGGTAGTTGAAGGTTGCCTCTTAGAATTGCATTCAATATGAGGGAAAGCACAGTTTGTCTAGGTCGATTTTTTTTATTATTTCTTATTCTTCAAATTTGAAAGACATTTAAAGTGGTGATTTGCTCTTCAAACTGAATCGTGCCGCTTTTTTCTGAAAATCGCATTCAGTACTTTTTTAGATTTATTACATTCTTATGCAATCGTATTTTTATCCATATCAGCTAGGATTTTTTACTGGTAAGTACTTCTAAACGAATTAAATGGCTATTTTATCTTAAAAGCTTTGAAGTATTTGTATTAGGATAACCAGTTCTTTCAACCCCTCCATTATAGATAGAATGCGGCATGTGCTTATTATTCGTCTTACTAAACGCATAAACGTTTCGACGCTCGAATGGTAATAATGTTGTGATTTGCCATGAGCGAAACTTGAAAAGCATGTTAGAAATTATTATAATATTTTGCCTCGCCAGTATCCACTTAAATAATTACCGATAAGAGGAGTGTATTCAATTTATTAACAATTGATTTCTGCGGTTTCGATCCTAGCTAGAACTAAGTTCAAGTCGCAAAGTAACAACATGCCTGTTGGTTGGAGACTAACCATTTCAAAATGTAAGTAGAGATTTTTCTAAATTTTTTAGTGATGATAATTAAATTAGTTTTTCCATTGAAATTGCGTTAAAATATTTGTAGTTTATTCAGTCGGATAGACTTCTGTAAATATAATGCGATTACCTACTTTCTAGACTAAAATTTAATCATTTCTCTCTAGTAGAAGTGGATTATTGATAGATATTCTGTAGTTTCCTCAGGCATACAATCTACAATTTCGTAAAGGAATGTTCCATAATTTTAGATATAAGGACTCTGACGAATGTGCATTTCTTCATCGTCTGCAACATTCGCTTCCAATGCATATTTTCAACACAATGCTGTTACTTTTTCCCTTTCTAGGTTGTCCAATACCGCAAAGATACGTTCTGGCCATAATGGGTTTTCTTGCAGTTGTAAATGCATATGCAATGCGAGTGTCCCTGTCCATTGCCATAACGGAAATGGTGAAACCCTCGAATTCTTCCAGCGAGAATAATTACGAAGATCTTTGTGCTGTTGGCAAAACGAATAGTTCCCACAACAACGCCGTTAAGGTAAAGTGCCCGACACCAGAAAATTGTCTCGTTTTATTAGGACCAGTTTCATTCGGAAGATTCTTAAGATAAAAGAAAGGTTTTGGGTTACGGAATAAAGACAAGAGGTGACTTAAAAAATATAAATAAATAATCTCAATTCTCTCGCTCATTTTAAATGCAGCCAAACTACGGTTAGTTAAATAAACGTCCAAAAAAGCCTTTAGAGAACCTTCAGTCTTATGGCTAATAAACTATAAACAATTTTAGAACCCCGATATTTTGTACGATTGGGACGAGCCCACCCAGGGATGGATTCTCAGTGCGTTCTATTGGGGATATTTAATAACCCATCTACCCGGTGGGATTCTAGCCGCAAAATTTGGAGGAAAATACACGCTGGGATTAGGGATTCTATCAACTGGAATTTTCACCATTTTAACCCCATGGATTGTGATAATGACGCATGGSAATTGGAAGTGGATTGTTGCATTAAGGGTAGTTGAAGGACTAGGCGAGGTAGGAAGATTCTGAAGAGTTAATAAATCATTCCTTCCTTCCTTCCTTCCTAAATCCTAAATCAGAACCTTCAACGGTTTATTTGCTTGGCAGTTCAAACAAGCGAGAATTACGTTTCTGGATAAGCAAGTAAAGATATGTTTTCATCCATTAAACCACAGTGTTTGCATAGCACTTAGGATCTATTAATTCAATGCATGTTCAGTCTGAGTTGGGTAAATAACCACACGAGGAATTTATCAATGAGTGATTTTTTTCAATAATTCTGGGCATTGACTCAGATAATAATAATCGTCTGATTTGTTTTTCTCCTAAATCTTTTTTTTTTTGTTTCAGGGTACCACTTATCCAGCATTAAATACTATGCTCGCTCAATGGGTCCCAGTAGGGGAACGATCTAAAATAGGTTCTTTGGTATATGCTGGTGGTCAAATTGGTAAGAAAATGCCTCAGTTTATAATGCCGCGTAGAAACGTTGAAAACCGAGGTTTATTTGATAATTAGAGCTTTATTGAGAAATTTATTAGCTAAATGAAACACATAGAGGAAAACGTGTTCTAAAAATTTAATTAGAGTCTAGTATTTTTTATTATTTTTAATCTGGCTCTGGTTCTTTTTTTATTCAATATTTTTTAAGTTTGAGTCCGTTTGCTTATCATCATCTTGGAACTCTTTACTATCGGATTTTTTTGTTGAGTACTTATTTGCTGAAAAAGTACACATTTTTTTCATAAAATTCATAAATATTTGAATACTGTTAAATTCAGTTATCATTCAAGAATAACTATTTTTAAACGTAAAATTTTAAAACCATTTGAGAGACTTTTCGTAATTTTCTTTATTGATAATTTAGCAATTAATAATTTAATTAAGCATTTAATAAGCAATTAATAAATTAAGCAATAATAATTTATAGCCGCTTGTATTTTTGYCTTCAGATTGTACAAACAATTTGGTTTGTTTTTTAATGCAGGGTGTTTTACAATTCGRTTGTTRAGTTGTGTTTTACATCTCAAAATAATATTCATGCAAACGTAGGTCCGCAAACGCTTTATTTTCAAAATACAGTATATCAAAATTCGAAATTTTTACAAGTTTTCTCCTTATAGCTCCTGGAGATTTTCACATATTTGGTGCAAATTTGAGCTAATTTATTATGCCCTAAATTATTAGAAATACCAACTGAATGTTAAATTGAAAAGGGTGTTATTTTTTATAAGATTACGCTCGGTTTATTACCACAAACTTTTCTTTCGCCCGCCACTAAAATCTGAAAACTTTTTAGAGAATTTCTTGTTTTGCCTCTCACATTTTTTTCGTGTCTGTCAGCGTTTTTGACTTATTTGCAAAGGTACCAGAAAAAAATTAAACACTGAAAACTTCGTTTTATCGATAATTTTTTATCCCGTTTGTATTCTTGTTTTCAGATTGTACTGTTTGGTATGTTTTACATCTCAAAATGCAGAAAAAGCCCATAGGCCGAAAAAAAATTTCTCGTTTTTCTCCTACAGTTTTTCACATATTTGATTCGAATTTTATATAGCTAATTTATTATGCTCTACACTATTAAACATGCCAGCTGATTGTAAAATGAAAAAAAAATCACCGTGGAAAAATAAATAACCTCTTTTACCGCTCTGGCGGCTCCTTTTACCACCCCAAACGCGAATTGCTTGTTCAATTTAACACGTTTTCTACCTCTTTAATTTTTTCGCATTTGCCACCGTTTTCGAGTAATTTGCATAAGTACCAGAAAAAGTAATTTATTTTTCAACGATTTTTACCCTGCATTTTGAAACCAAAACGTTTGCTGTCCAATATTTACATTATTTTTTTTTGAGACGTAAAGCGCGATCCTAAAATAAATGCACTGCATTTTGAATCACCCTGTATAATATTTTAGTGGCCAGTTTCAGTGTGTTTTTCTATTTGGCCTGCTGAAAGTTTTCATTATTTCACGATAAAATTCTGAATATTTCTGATCCTGTACCCAAAATCCAAAACCATTAACATTTCCATAATTCGAATTTTTTTATCAATCATTTCAGTGATGCTTCAGTCGAGTTTTCCACTGGAATTTTTCAAAGCCTAATAAATCTCAATCAAATTTGCACAAAATTCGCCATAACTGTTACAGTAATAGTACAGCATTACATAGCAATAAATAGCAATTAAATTGAGTAGAAACCTACACAAATCGCTTAATTTAGGTACGATCGTTTGCAATCTCATCAGCGGCCAACTAATAACAGCGACTGAAGACTGGGCTTCTGTATTCTATCTCTTTGGAGGCCTGGGAATCGTTTGGTTCATATTTTTCCAATTATTGTGTTATTCCGAGCCGAAACACCATCCATTCATCAGCGACCGGGAAAAGCAATACCTTGAAAAGGAAATTCGTAAGATTTCACAAAAGACTTCTTGGGAAAAAACTGGACATTGTTATTGCAGAATGTGTTTCCGATAAAAGGCCGCCCATTCCCTGGAAGGCTCTAGCCAGTTCTGTTCCTTTATGGGCGCTGCTAGCAGCTCAGATCGGCCACGATTGGGGCTTCTATACCATGGTTTCTGATCTACCAAAGTATATGAAAGAAGTGCTCAGATTTGATGTGGCCACGAATGGGCTTTGGAATTCTATTCCATATGCTGCTATGTGGATCGTTTCCATATCAGGAGGCTGGATTTGTGATTGGTTGATTTCGCATCGTTACATGAGCATAACTGTTGCTAGAAGATTTTTCACCGCTTTTGGTAAGAGGTAATTAATAATTTTGTATTGAGGTAATTACTTTGTTTTCATGTAGGTACTTATTGTGTTTTAATTTTGATCACATTTGTTCATGCTGATAACTTATAAACTCTTCTCTTCTGCAATTTACATAGATTTTTACACTCACTTTGCAAAATGAAGAAATTAATGCAAGAATATTGTAAAAGTAAACTAAATTAATGTTTCTTCGGAATCTTAAAGGCTTCAACACGGGTTGTTATTCGGATTTTTTATTTTTTAGCTGCTGTTGGTCCTGCTATATTCATAATGGCAGCATCTTATGCGGAATGTAACACAACGTTGGCTGCTTGGATGTTTACCACCGCAATGGGATTTATGGGCACATTTTACTGCGGAATGAAAGTGAACGCATTGGATCTAAGCCCAAATTTTGCAGGAATTATTATGGCCATTACTAATGGAATTGGAGCGGGCGCTGGAATTATCACTCCTTACTTAACAGGGGCGCTAACAGGCGAGGTGAGTTTGAAAAAAATAATTAATTAAAGATTTTATACAAATTTTATCTTAGCATACGGTGATTGAATGGAGGACGGTGTTTTGGATAAGTTTTGTCATTTTTGCGGTGACCAGTGTTATATATTCCTTGTTTGGGAGCGGCGAAGAACAATGGTGGAATAATCCTGAGAAAATCGACAAGAACACCACCGTGATTAACTTGGACACAAAACAGTTTCAGAGGAAAGAGGATAGAAAAACCATAACGTCGTTGTAAATATAAAAACGTGAAAATCGCAATATTAAAGTCGGGAGTGTAGGCAGTAGGAAGAAATCGACATAATCTTCTTCCATTAACAAGCCCGTGAACTTTGCGTAACATGAGATTCAGAAGAATGAAAAATGAATGAAGAGTGATATAAATTATATTTAATGGTTTTTCTTTTGTAAGAGTCAGCTGTTTTTTATTGTGTAAAATTTGATTAAAGTTAAGTGGTTTTGATTTTATAAATCTAATAAAACTGCATTAGTTATTAAATAATAAAATATTAAGATACGGTAAGCTGCATTTGCAATTTTACTCTAAAATTTCTGAGTCTTATGCATGCGATTAAAAACAGATTAGAAGGAATTAGGACGTGCATTGGCAATCCATGCGTTTTGTGATTATTTAACAAATCAATCAACAACATTTAACAAATTCTGTCTTTTTCAAAGACAAAAATTTTTGAGGCGATATACCCAACAAGCAGTTTGTAAAAAAATAAATCGGCCTCAACAATATAAAATTATTTTTTGTTTGTTTCGTGCTAGGAATTTTCAGGGGCTAGGATCCGTCCCAATAATTGCATTTTTTCATTGTTTATTGCATTATTGGAGGATAGCACGTTAAAACGTTGCGTGTGATCGTGGCCAAACCATTTGAATTTCGGACTGTTTTTTCCAAATTTAAAAAATTGAACACTTTCTTTTTTACTAAACGATACGTGGTAGGGATTTTCAGAGGCGTTCGTAATTTAATAGCATTTAATGAACGCTTTATAACTCTATGGACCCTCAATTATTAGTAAAAAAAATACAGTATTTTGTTATCTATGAAATTATAAAAATGATCGTCGTTTTGTGCAAGGGTGGCTCAAGATTATTGCAAAATTTCATGTTTTCCGTCCCGTTTTGCATGTTTCTCAGAAGCAAACTGAGCAAGAACGCTCGTTTTTACATCATTCCAGAGATAACTAAATGGCCTTTATTCGAAGTTTCTCAAGAACCATTCGAGCCGAAAAATTTCATATTTTCCTTCCCGTTTCTGCTCATATCTCGGAGGCAAAATGAGCAAGAACGCTCATTTGTACATCATTCTAGAGAGAAGTAAATGGCCTTTTTAGAAAGTACACCATCGATAAGGAAATGCTGGCAGTTTCCTAAAAAAATGCTTGAATTTAAGAAGTTTTAGGTTTGCGTGGTTTTTTTTTTAGTTGCAAAATCCACATGAACATGACGCTGCTTTTTTCGAAGTTTCTCAAGAACCATTCGAGCCACATAATTCGTTTTGGCATCGTTGGATAGAGAATTGAATGGGGGGGTCATGACCCCCATGGATCCGCCCTTGTGTACCGATGCTCTTATATATGAGCATCTAATTTATTTAAAGATCAATAGTATCATTTCAGAAAGGTTAATGTTACCGATGATTATGTATCATCAATTAGAATAACTGCTTTTAAGATATTCAACCGATTATTGTTAACTTGCTTTATAACGATGGAAAATATCCTCCAAAAACCATTATTAAATAGTGATTTTGTTTATCATCTCTTAATCATCAACTTAATTTTACTTTTCTAATATGGAATATTTATCGTTTCAGTGTAAAAAATACCAATACATATAAATACAATGGCTTTGTCTGTATTTTTTAAGTCCCATAACTCTAAAAAGTCTAAAAGAAAATTGAGTATGGCGCCAAATTGAATGCTTGGTCGCTCAAGCCGCAAGAACGCTGCAAATAGAGTGGGAGGTCTATATAGTGAGACTCGTCCAGACTCGTCTTTATCTATGAGTCAGAGTGAGTAGTCTGTAGTCTGTGACATGTGACAGATGACAGGAGCTGAAGTGACAGAAGTCACAGAACATACATAGGGGGGATATTTTGTGACAGAAGTTTATTGTTGATAAGAAGAGAAAATAGTTTTTTTCATCGTAATCAGAGATAAGAGCAGTCTCTGTTGTAATAGCTCATTGTATTGTTTACTTCTGTTTGTTCCACATCACAACGATGTGAAAGGTCTATAAGTACATTCGTAACAATTTCGGAATTTGCCCCTCAAAAATGTCCACTTACGCAGCCAATATAGTTACAGAAAATGGTAAGTTACGGAAAATTAGCAAAAATAGAACGCGGGTAAGGAAATTTAACTTCTGGTTTAGGTGAGCAGTTTATCCCTGCGTCTCAAAGGCCAGATGGCACTTGGAGGAAACCCAGACGAGTGAAGGGGGGTTATGTGCCTCAAGAAGAGGTACCTCTGTATGAAAGCAAAGGAAAACAATTTACCACAAAGAAACAGGAACCTGTGGTGCTTTCAACCGGTCAGACTGCTCAAAGACCAATTCCGGGATTGTTTATTATCCAAGATGCTAAAGAGCAGAAAAGCCAAAAGAAGAAGTCCAAAAGCAGTAAGTAAAGCACTGGTGCTCATGTACTTTATCTCTAGCAGAGTTTGGCTTTTATCTTAATTTTCTTTTAAAATACACGTAAAATAAAGCAAATTTACTGAAAAAAATGCGGTTCCATCAATTTGCCAACAAACCTTTAAAAATAATGTCGTAAATAGTATGTAGTCTGTGAATAATGTTTAAACGACTTTGGATTTACCATTCAAACTGCGACTGCCCAGTTCTGTTTTCGGTTAAATCATGTTTTAAGAACGAAGGATGAGGGGAGAAAGCGAAACTCGATGAGACATGAAGTACTTAATTGGCAAAACTCGTTTTTGCTTATGAGCATTTGTTTTTTAGAAATTGATCAAATCAACAAGATTCTGGAGAGTGCAAGAATTTCGGATGGCCCTTCTGACCAAAAATCACCAAAAGTGATAGCTCCGAAGTCACCTCCAACGCAGACACCTGAAGCCACTGATCCTGCCAAAAAGCTGAAAAATCTCAAAAAGCGATTGCGCGAAGTTGAAGCTCTAGAAGAAAAAATAAAGAGCGGAGCCGTGGCTAAACCTGAGCCAGAACAGTTGTTAAAAATTAACAGAAAGAACGAGCTTCTATTTCAGATAAGAGATCTGGAAAAGCAAGTGCAATAGGCAGTGTGATGCAAAAGACATTTAAAACGTTTTATTCGTAATTGTTGAAACGGACTTTGTTATAGGATAGCTGGTACAAAGTAGGTATTCATTCAATGAAAATACTGCAACAAGGACGACATTTTTTGGTTTGCCAGTTCCAACATTTAAGTCAATAAATGAATTGGCTGTGAGTTTAAAAACTCCATTTCTGTTCGAATTATTTAAACTTCCTATTGAGTTGCGGTAAATACATCTGCGTAGCTTTATGCGTGGTATTGTTTGCTACCTATTTGTGGTAATAATCTATCATAGATATCCTAATGAACGATTGAAAACATTTTTATTTATGTATTATTATTAGTATTAACACTACCGTTTTATGGTGGTTTTTCAAACTTTCAACATATATCAATTAATAGTAGCGTCTATTCATAAACATGCCCTTTTGATATCGACAAATTAAATGGATCACTAAACCACACGCATTGTGATTCTCATGCAGAAATAAAGTGTATTTAAAAAGAAAACTTGGATTGATTACCAGAGTTTACATAACGTTCTTTCAAGATTTTCGCTACATTTAAATATGTGGACAAAATGGCGATTGTTTAGTACAGCTCGATTAACTCGTCTTTCAACAGAAGGATGTTCATCTGGGAATAGTTCTAAGTTGTTTTCAGATATTTGGCACCACATCTGTAATATCAAGTATAAGCACTTGGACCAACTGCTGTTTTCAGTCAAATAATTTACCAACCTGCGCGTAACTGAGAAAGAATATTTTGTCGCTCTTAAAGTTCCACAAAATCTCTTCTAGTCCAATATTGCTGGATGTTTTGTAAGCTTGGTAGCTTAGATCTAAGCCTATATTGTCTGCCATAGTTTCTCCAATTAACAGTACACTCTCAGTTTGATTTGCGTTAGACTCAAAACACTTGCTTTTCGACTGGTATTCGATGATATCTTCATTCGGCCACCACATCCTTATGACTCCGTTTGAATCTGCTTGTCTACCTAATGATATATTTTATTTCATTTACCAAGTTTTTTTAATGTTTAGGTACCTGTCGAGTCCAGCGAATGAGCTAATTCATGTCCTATTAGACTGCCCAGGGCGGCATAACTAAATATTCTGCAATTAAGGTAAAAGTTGGATGGTAAATAATGAAGTAATATTACCCTGGTTATTACCTTGGTCCATTTTCGAAGTAGAATGGCTCTTGGAGGATGCCCAAAGGGATGACTAAAATTACAGAAAAAAATCGTTTTTTGAATTGAAACGCTTCTAGAACTTACAGATTAGATTTTGTAATATGCTGTAATAAGCATTGACGTCAAATATATTAGAAGGCCACCTAGAAAAGTAAATTGGATGAATTTTTCCTCAAAGTTATTTACTTACAAGGGTACTATTTTGGATGTCTCTACTAGAAGCAAGTTCCTTTCAGCGATGAGTTGCTTCAGTTTTAAAATGTTCTTAAAGTGATTGCCCGTAATGGTTAACTGAAATGTTTTATAAGTTTATTTCAATTAAGCCACTCGAATTAGGCTGAATTTACCTTATTGTATAGCTTTTGCAGTTCCGTCCCATTATTCATCCACTCTGAATAGCCGATGACTGTTTGAATGCTTTGAATTTTATCAATTGCTAGCTCCCTGGTTTTTTCGCTTAACCATGTATTTGCTTTGAGTAAACTTACGTATTCTGATTTAACAGCTTCAGCTACCATCTTAACGGAGCGAACGGTGTCATTTTTTATGTACCAGTCTAAATATTTTGGTAGAATTGCGAAGCTGAAATATTCCATTGCTTTGTTGGTGCACTCGATTTCTTGTGGAAGATCGGACGGAATTCCCAAGATTGCTTTATCAATGGAAAAGTTGAGAGCCCTCAAATGAACAGACGTGTCTCTTGAGAATTCTTTGACTATGGTCCAAATTAAGTAATTGGCTAAAAATGGTCTAATTAATTTTTGCTGTGAATTACCAACAGTGGTGTTACCTACCTATGTTACCCCCACTAACGCGGTTCATAAACAACACGAGATTTTTTATATATTTGAAGTTTTTTATTACAACGGTGGCAGGTTTTCCGATTTTTCTGTCCATACCGCGGTAAAGCACTTCGACTGCTTTGGAAAAGTCGCATTTTAATTTTTTTGTGAAACGACCCAAAGTGTTCCTTTGCATTCCCGATTTCACGGACATCAGTTTGGCTAGTCGCCGTTCAAAGTCGACTATTTTTCTAACTTTGTCATCTAAATTTTGTATAATCCATGATGCGGGATATAATAATTTAATGCTCTCGAAGATCCACTTTTTGTAAGCGATTAGTTCCTTGCTGGATTCTAAGGGGTCCAAAAGGAGATTGCTCGGGAATACTAAATTACCAGGTTCCATCTAAAATTTCGCTTTTCCTAAAAATAGTTTAATCCAGCAAAGAGTCCTACTTACATACAGTACGTATTTATTAGTGTCTTTGTAGTCAATCCCAATATTAAACTTGATAATCGGGCTAAAGCCCAGTTTTCTGTTAATGGAAGCGACTTCCTCCAGCCAACTATACGAAGAACTATTATAACCGTTTTCCAAAATCGGCCAGCCTCTAAAGTGCTGTATCAACAATCTGAGTTCTTCCAAATGCTGGCCTTCCTGTTTCTTCGAATGTAAGCAGGCGTGATAAAAGACTTGCGATTTATGTAGCGATAAATTATCATCTTCGATCGGCGCTTCTAATATTCGTTGAATTTTCTTTTTAATCTCGTAAGATGCGGCAGTGAAATGATTCCAAGTAGCTTCTAGGTCTGGTTTTACTGTTTGCGCCCGCCATGAGGCACAAGAGTATTCATAAAAATTTGCACAAGGCAATAAAGGGCTTGGGTTAATCACAGTAAAATTTTCTGAAACTATGAGCATGTCAATAAATTCTGGAACATTTTCCTAGATTTATAACTCACCAATATTTTGCAAATTGCTCTTTAGGAAAAAGGGAATACTACAGCGCACTTCTACAAAGTAATAACCACTCAAAATAATTAACTTGAGGCAATTAATTGCACTTAACGACATCTCGAACTCAACGTTTTTAGTCCCTATTGCAAATTAGAATAGAGTTAATTTTAAGAGTTTAATAACCTTGCAGAACCGATAACTGTTTTGTAGATAATTCTCTTCATGTAGGTGGTTTTGTTGTATGCGCGTTTCACCACATTTTGGTGAATGAATTTTTGTTCCCACGCTGCTGCAGAACTAATTAATGGACGTGAATCTTTCTTTATCGTTTCTACTTTATTTATCAAAGAAATTCATTCAGTTTCAATACTAATCCGTAGTGATTAGCATAATGTAATATAATTAGTTTCTAATGAAACCTTATACTGAAGCCATAAAGTCTTAGTAACTTAACAAGTATATAACACTATTGAAAGATTTTACTTAGCCAATACAACTAGACAAACGCGACTTTAACAGTTGTTGAATAATTTTTTATTCATGTAGCTTATTAAATTCTAAATGAGATTATTCCCATCGGCTTTTCTTTTTTCTTGGTTGAGCGACTGGCGTATTTTCGGCGCTGGCTGTGAACTGGAACATGACAATATAATATTATGTAATACCTGTTGATTTTTTTGACTGTATTTTATAGGAATTCGCAACTTAGCATCGTTCCGCCTCTCTGAATTGTTTGATGTCAGCGTGATTGCAGTCTTAGCTTATAAAAAGAAAAAGTATCTTACTTGGTTAACGTATTGTGCTTTGAAAGCTTCCTTCATAGCGGAAAGTCGGTCGGTCGCCGGTCCTTTAGTGGAAGCAGGAGCGCTGGTAGATAAATTTCCCGACGAGCTGGCGACAAAACCTCTCATAGAACCCGCAGAAGTGTCTTTAAAACCTAATCCAATTCCTCCTACATTTGACGAATGCTGATCTTGTTTCTTAAACCTAGAGAAGAGAACAGAAAATTGTGATTCTGATTCGAGTAGTTTCGCAAGCAACTCAATCTAAGATAATCCACACTAATTATTAATAAATAATTAATACTTATTTATTAAACAAATAAGATAATGTTTTCATTCAAACCTTTGTTTTTTAAACCACGCGCTTTGTAGTGCTAAATCTAATATCTCGTGGGGAACTTCTTGCTTAGCAGCCTCCAGGTTCCTCACAATATGACCCGCGAATTCCTTGTCGCGACTTGTAAGCAACGTGTATGCTGTGCCCTGAGTGCCTAAATACAATTAAAAGTAGTGTGGATGTTTCAAGTTTAATACAGATTAATTAAGCTTTTAAACAACCTACAGAATAAGTGGTTTACTTGCCATTACCTACCTGCTCGTCCTGTTCTTCCGATTCTGTGCGTATGAGTATCGATATCTCGAGCTATGTCATAATTAACGACGGTGCGAACATGAGGAATATCCAAACCTCTTGCCGCAACATCAGTGGCAACCTTAAATAAATTTATATTTATTGCACAAATTTGTCACTTCACTGTCCCAAGACTAACCAATAAAGGTACTTCTTGCTTCTTGAAAGCGGTGATAACTTTGTTCCTTTCAGCTTGTTCCATGTCACCATGCAGTAGCAAACAATCGTATTCCTTGAGAAGCAAATCCTTTGCCACCTAAAATACAACATCCAAATGAAGAAAAAATTAATCGGTCACCAAAATATACAGATAAAAATATAGACACTGAAGTCATTCCTTACCTTTTCAGCATCGACTTTTTTCGTAACAAAAATCAAAACTGACCCAGCAGATAACATTTCCACTAGTTTCCTAAACAGCCAATCGCGCTTTGCGTCCTGGTTAGGTAGGAGCAGCACGTCCTGAGTTACATCTTCATTCGCTTGTCCAGCGATACCTTGCAAAAAAATTACGAAATTATTTATTTCCTTTAATATTTATTCGCGCTATAGCATTACCTTGCGATATTCTAATCGGGTCAGATAAGGCATCTTTGGCTAATCTGCAACATTAGATTTAAATCTTTTGAACATCCCTGAAAGTTTAATTAACCTTTCGATTTTCTTTTTGAAAGTGGCCGAAAACAATAAAGTTTGTCTGTCTGGGCGGACGTGGTTACATACAGACCGAACTTGTGGTTCGAACCCCAATTCGAACATTCGATCTGCTTCATCAAGTACTAAAAAGGTCACTCTTTGCAGATTCGTAGCTCCGATCTTTACATGGTCAATTATTCGTCCGGGAGTAGCAACTACGATCTCTGCACCTTCCTTTAAAGCCTACATCAGAAACCAATTTAATTCGGTCATTGTGATTATTTTGTGGTAGCAAACAAACTTTCAATATGTAAAAAATCTTACTTTACTTTGTTCCCATTTAGAACCACCTCCATAGGCACAAATAACTCGCAAGTCGTAAATTTTCGCAAATTTTTTGGCTTCTGTATATATTTGCAGCGCTAATTCTCTCGTTGGAGCCAATATGAGCGCTATGGGCCCTTCACCTTCGTCGACTGGCTTTTGAACGGACACATGCTTCAAAAGCGGCCATAAAAACGCTGCTGTTTTACCACTGCCTGAAACAAACCACGGTGTGCACTATTTGTCGATTTTCCAACGCTTTTTTCTTACCAGTTTGTGCGATTCCCAAGACATCCCTGCCCATCATTGCTGCTGGAACTGCTTGGGCTTGAATGGGAGTCGGCGATGAATATTCAGCCTTAATGATAGTTTTCAGCAATTTGTCGTCAAAGCCGAAATGAGCAAAAGAAGCGACGGGTTTTGGTACATCAGTGCCTTTTACTGTAAGGTCGTATGTGCCTCGAAGCTCCAGCACCTAAAATCGGTGTTATTTAGCGAAATTATAAACATTTGACCAGTTGATCGACCTTCTCATTTGACATCATTTTAATTTCAGGATGCTCAATATAAAAGTTCTTCTGAAAGGGTTTGTACTCGAATTGGGAGTGATCAATCGGCGGTAGAGGATCTATAATTCTCTTCTTATCTGGCGGTATTGGATTCCCATCCTCATCATATTCTAAAAAAAGATTGATAGTACTGATAAGCTAAAGAGCTGTTTGTATAAACATTTTACCTATTTCAATGCCGTCTTCTTCAACTGGTAAAAGTCCTGCGTTCGGGTTCTCCTCCATATATCGGTAATAAGATTCTTCGTTGTCTTCTTCTTCTAGATCATTCCTCACAGGTTGTTGTTGAGGAGGTTGCTGCGTTGGAACAACCTCTTTTTTCGTTTCTTTTTCAACCTGCAATAAAAATTTTGCAGTCTAATCAAACAATGATAATATAAAAGACTGTTTGGACGAAGAAAGCTTAGAAACACATAGGTATTCAGCAAGACGTTTCGCTTCCTAGATAGAGTGTTTATCTTAAGTTGGCAAATTGGGGTCAATTCATCACCTGTGCTTCTATACCAGCCATGAAAGCATCCAATGGATCATCCTCTTCCTCTTCCTGTCCTTGCTTTTTATCCATCTCTAATCTGGAGAAAGTGAAAAGTGTGGGAGAAACTATCAAAAACTATATCAGCGCAATACCTTGTTGGGCTGTCTGGGGCTGGAATATATGCTAGATCTGGCACTTGCTCCTCCTCATCGACATCGAAATATCTTCAAAAAAAATATAATTACAGCAACTACCTTATCCTAAATTACAAGCTGAACTCACTCGTCCTCTGTTACAGCTCGTTTTCTGCTTCCAGTGCCCCACGAAGCCGTTAGAGCGTTTTGACTGATTGAAGTCATTGTGGAGTAGCCCTGCTTGCTCAAACCAGAGCCAGGAACAGGAACGGCACTATTTCTAACCCCAGGAGCGATGTTGGTTGGCGGCGGTACAGCATTCAGTTTTTTTGGGCCTGTACTACCCCCTAAATTAGCAGGAGGGGGCACAGCGTTCATTTTCTTGCTATTAAAGCTCGAATAGTTGAAGCCGCTCATTGTTCGGTTGTTCGCTGATTTCGCTAAATTTAATCAATAGATTTCCTTATTAATAGCGTGGTATTTTTCGAATAAGCCCATAAATATGAGCCCGGATTCAATAGCAATTTGTTGACAGGAAATTTTATATTGTGTAGTGTTCATAACCTAAGATCCGATTTCTTTGAGATTTGACAGCGCAAATAGTGCCTGATTGGCAAGTTGCCCCGATTTTCTTGAAAGCTTGGAAAATAGGTCATTTTGAATTGCTCAAATGTTTTTATCAACTCTTTGTCATTTTATCAAGCAAATCTACTGAGTAAGATTAGTATTAAACTAATGTTTCATTTGCTCTTTTGGCATACTAATGACTAACTGTGGCTTAATATTTGTAAAACCAGAAAAAAATTGTAAAGTATGACAACGCAGCGATCACATATGTCGTTTTTGACAACCGTTTTTTGATGTTTTTATTACAAGATTTTCAGGGCGATTTACGGTGTGGTGTATGGAAGTAAATAAATATCGAAAACTGAATACCGTAGTATTGAATTGATATACTTGAATTACTGAGTTAATTAAGCGGATTTAAATGTGTAGATATATTGGGATATACAGGCAGTTGACCGCATATCATGAGCATTCTTACTTGGTTATATTTTTGTGCTTTCATCGGTGTTGTTTTAAGTGATGAAACAAGTCAGGTAATTGTGAAGTCATTGCATGAAAAGTTCGAGTTTTATTTATTTCCTTGTATTGATTCTGAAGACAAATCATGGTCGCAATTATGAGTTAGCTGAGGAATTCGATACCAGGCCTCTAGTTGTGGCCACTTTAGATGGGACTCTGGCTGCTCTGGATAAACACACTGGGGTAGTCAAATGGAGAATTAAAGACCGTAAGTTTACACTTTATTTAAAAGTATTCCTTTATTTCCTAGAAACCTGTTCAAAGCTAAGTTTTGGAGCCAAACTCATTTCGATATTTTGATATCCCAGCAACTATTGCTTCAATTTATGTTTTGTACGTTATTATTTTGAATGACCCAATTACAATGCTTTTTACTTCCTACACAGTATATATTGTATCATGAAATATCATTGTGAAAATAGAAAGGTTCTAAAGTTAACAGTTAACAGCTTAAATACTACTGATATGCGAACTTTTGTTGTTGAATTCTTATTTTAGTCGCTATATGCGTTATTTTAACATAATACTGTGTGCATAGTATAAATTTAAAGTTCGCTGTATGTGAAGAATAACCCAAACTACATTTTTAAACAAGCATTTTAGATGGAGAATAGTACCAAAGCCAGAACCAAAAGTCTGTCTTAAGAAACTAGTACTTTTTTTCTAAAATCTGTCCCTTTTGATACTAATCTGACGGCGTTTTTTATGTTTTTTTAAACTGCTATCAGTTTTTCGGACTACCATTGGAAAATCGCGCTGAAATCAAGCAGTTAATTAATGTGTATTTTTTTGTTGCAGATCCCATAGTGCAAGTTCCTTTGAATACAGCGGATGCATTGATTCCCATATTTCTCCCCGATCCCAGAGATGGTTCCCTTTACTTAATGGGGGACAGTAGGCAGCCATTGAAAAAGCTCCCTTTTAACATTCCCCAATTAGTCCATTCTTCTCCATGTAGAAGTACAGACGGAATTTTATATACTGGTAAATAACCATTAAAAATGAATATGCATTTGGTGATACAGAGACAGTTTGTTGGGGTTTTGAGGATATTTTAAAAGAAATGTGTTTTACCGAGAATTAGGCTCTATTTGTTTAAAACTGATGAGTTTTTCGGGCTTTTAGGCTGTCATGAAAAATAATTTCTGCCTTACAAAGCAAGCCGGAAAAACTCTTCAATTTCAAATGCGTTTTACTTCAGCTTTATCTATAAATAAACCATTTTCCTTATGGAGAATCTATAATGCTTTTGCCAATAATTTCAAAGGGTTTTTGTTTTAATTAATTATTTATTCTCCTTCATAGTGGGTCAAGTAATATTGATTGCAGCTAATAGTTTCTTAATGACTGTCTTTATCCCACTTATCAATAAATAATTTTCTGAAAGTCCTTGATAGTATAAATATAATTTGATAAATAACCGTGTATTTGACCACATGGATTAAGATAGGAAGTCAAGAGATTAACTGGAAAAATAAATTTGTTTGTCATTTTACCAAAATCTGTATTTTGTGCATGATTATGAGTATGAAATGCTCTTTATTTACAAACAAGTGTACAAACGTTCGGCTACATATTTTAAATAGTTTCTGAAATATTGTGAAAATGCTACAAAGACCACAATGCATCAACCATCTATGTATTTAATTATGGGAGGATTTCTTAGATTATTTAACACGAAACGGTAATAGTGTTATTTTCTGTTCGTTGATGATTTTTTGTAATACATTCTTATATGCACAAAAGGTGCAGGCTTGAAAGATAAAAACGTTTTTATATTTTTATAAAAATTCTCACTAACTGAGTCCGTGCATTAGATATTTTATAAATAACTTTATTGGCCCCCCATATTATTGACGCCACGCAAGGTAAAGTGGAGGCAAGAAAGCAAAATTCAAAGTAGGTATTTACTATTTTTTATACTTATTTACCTATTTACTATAGTTTTTATTTAACTTGCTTGGGACTATGTTCTCTTAAATTAACTTAAATCTCTGTTTCTTTCCACTCAAACTCTGCAATACATTTGAAAAATAGACAATTTTATAGCAATATATGAAAGCCACAATGGAATGCTTTCCGTTGTGATTGTGTGTTGTCTTTTGTGTTAAAGATGTAAGAATATAGGCTGAATCTGAGTCTGAATATTCCTCTCTATCTAATCCTTTTGTTCGTCTAGGCAAAAAGAAAGATACATGGTATAAATTAGACCCTAAGACCGGAAACAAAGAGCAGATATTGGGTTGGGGCGATAACAGTCCAACCTGTCCAGTCGAAGTAAATAATTTCGTTTATATCGGACGCACACAGTATAACATAATGATGGTAGATACTAATACACATAACAAAAAGTGGAATATTACGTTTTATGATTATACTGCTGCTGATATGCGAGTAGATGAATTTAGCAACTACGGTATGAAAACAATTTCGTGGACTTGAATGGATTTGTGTATGAAACAATCTATTTATTTATAGACTTAGTACATTTTGCATCCAGCTCGACGGGAAAACTGTTAACTTTGGACAGAAGAACAGGGCATTTGTTATGGGAAACCGATCTTGGCAGTCCAGTTATTGCGATGTATTTACTTTCGCTGGACGGGTTGATAAAAGTCCCATTTTCAAGCCTTTCCAATCATACGATTCATTATTTGGCGTCTGAAATTGGCGAACATAATGGATTAGTGGATAATCCTAATCACCTGAAATTGTAGTAAGTACATATAAAAAATTTCTAGAATTCGGTCTAGTGACAAGCGGATAAATTTGCGATTAACAAATAAGCTGCAGGCGAAAACGAACTTGAATCGCAGATTCTAAAAATAATGTTGTATAGCAACCTAAGAACATTTTACCGTATTCTAGTCCCACCCTATACATCGGTGAACATCATCATGGCCTTTACGCAATTCCATCTCTTGTGGATCAGAACGTTGTTACTATAACTGCTTCAGATGAGGGTCCGTTATTTCTAGAAGGAGCATCTCCTGATCCCCCTAAGTTATATGGTCAGCTCCCTATACCGGGTCGCGACTATGAATTACCGGCCGATGCTAAGCAGGACGCCAATTCTTATAGTTTGGCCGGCTTTCAAACCTATCTGGTCATATACACTGGCCATTACAATGTGCCAAATTATTCAAAAGCGGAATTTCTGGGCCCTAATAAACCCACTGGCCAGGTAAGGTGATTTTCTTAAACAGTAAACTGTTATATTTGTGAATCCTTTGGTTTTTTCCAGATGAAATTGATCACTGATGCCAGTAAATCTTCAATTGGAACCCAAACTGAAGATTTGCGTAGAAACAGTGAGGCGAAATTGGTTTTGGATGATCCCATCATTGACCAGTGGTCGATAAAATGGTATAAATTTGCAAAATCCTGGATCAATCAACAGGAGAACAAGGGGCTGAAGCTTTCCCTTATAATAATGACTGGTATCGTGTTTTCTATGTTTTGGTATCTCCTAATGCAGGCAAGTTGGTTTAATTGTTTTTTTTTTTCGGAAATAACGGGCTTGCTTTGTTGTAGGTTCGGGAGGTTCAAAACATGTCACAGAATAGTTCAAGGGGAAGTCACCAAAACGCATTTGGTAGGCATGGGCAAATTACCGCGCTTCCTGAAGAGTTGCCTGGTGGGGTGGTGAAAGTAGGGAAGATCTCCTTCCACCCCGATCAGTTACTGGGGAAAGGATGCGAAGGAACCTTTGTATATAGGTAGTGACTTTACCAAAGGAAAAATTTCCAAAATGATTCAGTTTTGTTTAGAGGCGAGTTCGACAATAGGAGAGTAGCCGTTAAGCGCCTGCTGCCCGAATGCTTTACCTTCGCCGATCGGGAAGTGGCATTGTTAAGGGAAAGCGACGCGCATCCTAACGTTATTAGGTAACAGGAACAGTTCCCCATCTATTTTGCCCTATGATTGTATTTTTGTCATAGGTATTACTGTATGGAACAGGACCGCATGTTCCGATATATTGCCTTAGAATTATGCCAGGCTACTCTTACTGAATATATGCGCGGTAATTGCGATACCACTGCGATATCCCCAATGGAAATTTTATATCAGGCTACTTCTGGATTAGCGCATTTGCATTCCTTGGACATAGGTAAAGTACCAACACTTTTTTGGCTTGCTTCTGTAATGGTTAACAACATGTTTTAGTCCATCGGGATATTAAGCCCCATAACGTGCTCATTTCGGTGCCAAATAATAGAGGAGAGGTGAAAGTGATGATATCTGATTTCGGCTTATGCAAGAAGTTGCAGTTTGGAAGAGACTCATTTTCCCGGAGATCCGGCGTTACAGGGACAGACGGGTGGATTGCCCCTGAAATGCTAACCGGCACGGGGAGAACAGTAGGATTTACTCAAACTAATTACGTTTCACAAATACAGTGGTTGCTCTTCAGACCGCAGCGGTGGATTTGTTCTCCCTTGGATGTCTTTACTACTACGTGCTTTCAAAGGGAGGTCATCCCTTTGGCGATGTTCTTCGTCGTCAAGCCAATATTTTAATGGGCGAGTATGATCTTGACGAATTAGAAGGGCCAGATTGGCAGAAAGAGTTGCTAAAGCCCCTCTTAGAAGCCCTGCTGTCGTGTGAGCCCGAAGCTAGACCCTCATGTAATGCTGTTTTAAAGCACCCAGTATTTTGGAACAGCCACACCATATTAGCGTTCCTGCAGGTGTGTAGTAGAAGTGGAATTCAAATTTTCATTAAACTCAAGAATGTATTATTATTTATAGGATGTCAGCGATCGAGTGGACAAGTCCGAAGTTGATGATGAAGTTTTACTATCCGTTGAGGAAGATTGCAAATCCATAGTCATGCAAGATTGGCGGGTGTACATTCACAAAGAGGTAGCAAAGGACTTAAAGAAATACCGGTCGTATCGAGGGGAAAGAGTTAGAGATCTGCTGCGAGCACTCAGAAATAAAGTAAGTTGCTTTCAAATGGAACTTTGACAGAGTTTATTAATGCTTGGGTATTTTTTAGAAGCATCATTTTCGAGAGTTGACCAAAGAAGCCCAGGATTATTTGGGCGACATTCCTGAGGCTTTTACCAGTTATTGGACCAGCAGATTTCCTTTACTTTTAGTACATGTGTACATCGCCATGCAATGTGTGGCGCATGAAGTCACATTTCAAAGTTACTATGATAAATCCTACAGATATTCAGTTAACCAGTTTAAATGCCAAGTTTTAAACTACGTCCGTTCAAACCCTGTACAATTGCCCTTAGACGTCAACTTGGATCATTTTGAGACCAGCTCAAGCCCCAAAAAAACGCAAAGTCGAAATTCAAGCCAAAAATCAGTAGAGTTAAGTGATATTTCTATTAATTTTACGGATAACACTAATCTAGATAGTACTTATGTAGCACCGCCTAGGAGGAGTGTTTTGTTGAAATCCCGGTCCAGGAAAAAGAAGACAGTTGATGAGCCTTTAAACTGGAATATTTCAGAACAGTAAAATTTCGCTTTATTTTTCAGGTGGTTAGTATCATCCGATGGTTCCACAGTGTTTTTATTGGTCGGATCTTCCAGTGAGTACGTTTGAAGTCGCTTAAAATTGCAAAATTTTGACATTTTTATTTAATATTGCATTGGCGTGTTTATGCTCCGGTTACGGTAAATGTTTTATAATAAGATTTAATTGACTAAGTACGTCTAACAAAGTGCGGTTCTCTTTTATTATTGTAGATGTGACCAAACAACTGATCTCAATTTTTTTGGATATTTTTCATTAGCCGACATCGAACGCATCTATATAACATCTGCCTAATAAAAGCTTTGCCGGATTATCGGTTTATCGGTAGAAAAGAATATAAATTCATTTTTACATGAACAGTCTTGAAATGCTGTATTTTACATGACAATGATTTCAGCTTGGTTGAAGAGGCTTAGAAAATGTATTTTTCAAGCCTTATTTTTGACGAGTAAAACTACACGTTTTTTTTTTAAGTTACGGTGTCTGAAACGTATGAAATAGATTTCCAAATGCACATGACAAATTTTACCGATGTGAATCTTTAAGTGCCTTGATATTAGTGATTTTATTAGCGAGATCGGATAGTAATGTCGTTAGTTTTAAATTATTTACACGATTTAATCGCTACCATTTTCATCTGGTGAGCACATTTTCACGACCGGATTGATTAAAGTCAATTGGTTTTTTCAAAGATCTAGGGATGGAAATTTGGCTACCATCAGGATTGCTGATAAGAATAAATTTTTCATTGCATTGTCTGAAGTTGTTAGTTCTCCTGACCAATAAGGACCGGAAAGATGAAATCTACGGAATTTACCAAGGTTTAATGCATTTGAATGAAGATTGCGTTGGAAGAAACTGTTGCGCTAATTCTATTGCGACACTGGAAAATATGACTCAAATGTGCCTTTTCTGGTATTTGGCTGGCAACTTGACACGAAATATCAGTAAAAAAAATCATTTTGTTAGTTATAAAACGAAGAACGTTCGTTTACGTACATATTTTTGCATTACTTTCCGATAGTCTTGTTATCATTAACGAATATACGCGGGACTGTTTGTGTATTTAACACTTAGATTGATACTTCTTGGAAGGCAAAAAATATTTTTCTAATATGGTAGAAATTCGAAATGTTTGAGATTAAGAATGGAATAAGGAACGGTTAATGTTTTATCTAATTTTAAGAAAATAGTTTGAATGTGAATTTGCGCTATTTCGGTGGCAAAACTATGGGCATTCCTTGGAACCTATTAGGTTTTATAATTTTCAGATATATCGTGAATATATATTTATACAGTGTCTCAAATGAAGTGTGCACCTTGATGGGTTTTTTGATTGTTATCGTGGCAAAAGCCGGTGAAAAACTAGTGGGATTGAAATAGTGCAACCAGACAAACGCAGCAAATGCTGATGCATGGTTTTCTTGAAAGATGTACAGGGTGTATCATTAAAAAAGAGTTTTATAATTTCACCAGTTGGCTACTTTCGCCGACGTCCTAATAAAGAAACTAACCAAGTGCGCACTTCTATGAACCACCCTGTATTTCTTTTAGAGTTATGGTAACAATTTTAGGAATTTGACACTTACTGTGATACGTATTTCTGTTATAAGCACTATTCTTACTACATGGTGTTTAAAAAAAACATTTTTTTTATTTCTGAGATAGTCTTTATTCAACATTCGCCCACACATGTTGTTCGATCCAATCCAGAAATGCCGACACTCTGGTGTATATTCCAGGCACGCTCGCCCCACAACCGTCTCCATAAGAAACGATTCCCACTATGTCGTAACCACCAGCTCGACTTTCTAACTGAAGGGGCGAGCCGGAATCTCCCTAAATCAAGTGTATTATTTAATCCATTAGATGGTTAAATAATTAGCTCTTTACCTGACAAGCGTCCTGCCTTGTGGATAAATTCGAGCTATTTGAAATTGCACAAATTTGCGATTCTACGATAACTTTTTTGGTGAATCGTTGTCTCGCCAGCACAGTGTCGTTGCATGTATTTATTGGAACGGCTTGCAACTTGGCAACTTGTAATAGTTTAGATCGCGAGTTCGTATTGCTCGGGTCTGAAACATCCGAATTTTATAACTTAATGCATTCCCTCTAGTAATTTTATTATTTAACTTATAAATGAATAAAACTGTTTCCTTACTAACCAGTTAATCCCCATCCGGTTACGACCAATCCTAAGGGATCGTCGGGAGTTTGGTGCAGACATGCCGGATAAACGATTTTGGACATTTGAACGTCGTCGTGTAACTCGATTATTGCAATGTCGTTATGTTTTGAATTGTAGTTGTAATTTTCGTGAATAGTTATATTTTTTATATCTCTATCTTGGGCTGACTGGTTTGCGCTGCAAAAAATATTCAATATCAATATTGAGCTTCTTTGAAATCGAAGTTGGGAGGCTCATTTAGTTTAAGTAAAATTGTCTATTTTTATTAAATGTTACACGGCATTGTTTGTAAAAGGGCAAGCTATATAAAAACTCGCAATAAAATTTTATTGCCTAATAGATACTGGTTTTGCTAGTCTAAAGGTTTTATCTGATGGATTTTATTAATATTCGGTTCCATTTTTATTAATTGGTGCAATTGTCTACCTTATATCCACTACACCCACTCGAATTTTAACAGCATCATCAGTGCTACACCCTGGACAAATAAAGCAATGTGCTGCTGTTAAAAGGAATCGGGATGATATCAACGATGCCCCACATTTTGCAAAATCGATCTCGTCAAACCCCGTTTTGAATCCTATTGCTGCCTGTAACGTGCAAATAACGTGTTAAGATCACACACACATTCTCATTTCATTCACAATATCTACATGAAATGTTATGTGCATTTTTATGTTATTAAAATCTTCCTGTAGATCTACTACGCGTGTCTGTGATTGTGAAGTAATTTTTTTAATAGTGGTAAATCGTAGAAGTATCTTTATACTTACATACAAAAGCAATTTTCACTATAGAGATTTGTAAATTAAATCTATTTTGGGAATGATCAACCTTCAGATTCAGGTGCTTCGGATGTATTTATCCTTATTGATGCGGTTTGCAGAAACTCGATTTACTCATTTGCAATTCGACGCATATCATTATCTATTCAGAAGTATGAAGAAAGTTTTAGAAGGAAAATATCAAACTAAATCACATTAAAAAGGTGGGTACTTGATCTGTTATTGATAACGCGTAATTTTTTTACGGATAACCTGAAGAATCGCCACCAATTTTTTTTATAAGTAATTTACTTTTTTGTAGATAATATTTGTAGAAATAATGTGGCCATTTACATTCATTTATTAGTTCGGCATTAAATTCAAGATTTCAACTTTTATTTAAAAAATGCACTATACACTTTATAAAAGGTCAAACACATACCATGTGTGGAAACTCTCCAATTTGAGCATCTTCACCACCTAAGATGTTGTAGTTGAATTTGCGCCGTATGTTGTTATCTTTGTATATTTTCTCGCACACTAAAACATTGAAAAAATACCTAACAATTGACTACACATGAACTGGTGAACTTACTTTTTTCAGATATTCGCTTATTAACCGGTTTTTTCGTGGTATTAGGCGGGTTTTTGTCGTTCTTTACATCTATTCTGGCTTCCTCCGTCCAAATGATCGAAGAATCGAGGGTGGTTGCTTCTATTTGCGGGTGTCTGAATGTTAAATCTGGACAGCACACTACCTAAAGGGTGGAAAACATATTGAGGGATGGAACCGAAACGCTCCTTCAAGTAAAACTTGTTAATTTTAAGTCGCACCTCTTCTGTTCCAATGAAACTACACCGGAGGAGATCGTGGCGGAATTTTTCTCGTATTTGTTCCTTAGCCACCGCACAATCTCGAACTTTTTTGCAAATGCCCGGTAAACCCAGCTTTTGGCAACTATCCCCTTCTGCAATGTGAAATCCTTACTATTTACTGTTTTAATTAACATTTACGTTCTGCTGGCATTTTTTTTTAAATTTGTGGTCTTAATTGATTAACTTGAAAAAGCGTTTTGGATCTGAATTGTAAACAGAAGTTTTTAAATGTTTTGCATGTGTTGCACTCTTTTCTTGCGCAATTATTCCCGTCCTCAAATTTTTATATTTGTTTACTTGCTTGGATGTTTTTGTCAAGCACTTTAACTTCTTTGTTAAAATAATATAAATGGTTAAAATAGGGATCTGCAATGCCTGCCCGATTTGCTTCATTACGATTTTTAAATGTTTTAGCAAAAAAAATTTCTGACTTCTGTTGGTAAGCAGATCGATCCATTATTATGAAAAAAAGTGGATACTTTTCTTGCCCGTTTAGCGGCAGTTTTTCCATCAGGTCAGATTAATTTTGCAAAATTTTAGAGCTTTCAGATGTTTGCTGCCCACTACAGGGAATCAATTGATATTTTTTGTGTATTATTTACTGGATGTTCGGGTTAATGAATTATTGGTCACGTAATTTTGGATATATTTTGTTTCTACAAAGTATTTACTGATTTTAAGAAGTAGGAAATTTATTTGTTTTTAGGCTTACGAAAAGCGTGGTGGTTAATTTAAAATAAAATGTTTTATTTATTTAATTTTTAATTATTAAAAAAGCCCACTACCCCTGTTATTTCCAATTAATCTGCAACCGACAAGATAATTTTTTTATCAGTGGCATATAATTTTAATCTTGTTCTACACTCCGCGCACATATTTTTTTATATAAAAACGCTTCTGTATTTTTTTGCGCTACTATTGCCACATTCGGTAGCAAAGAGTGGTAGTTAATGGGAATCCTTGATGACTTTCGGAGAACTACTTAAATGTCCAATACAATTTTAATTGGTTTTCGATTATTCTGACGAATTTTTCTTCAATCCACTTCGACTAGCTTTCACTATGTAAAGAATTGTGTAGAATATTTGGATTCAGTTGTGATCAATGTATGAAGAAATGAATTGTGTTTTTACCATCTTTCGGCTCCTGGCAGATGCCGGACTGGATTGCGCACAGAAAATTAATCAAAGTGAGAGTTTTAACCACTGTAAACATCCCGCTAATTTGGCACATTTTTCAACCGGGTCCTTTTCCCGAAGGATGCACTTAAAGAGGAACTTAACAACACTTGTTCTCCGATTTATCTCAATAAACCCTCAATTTTGCGCTTCTCCATTATTTCGCACTGTACTCATTCTCGGTGTGGACACGTTACAACTATCTCGCGTTGCTATTATTAAAAACAATATTATTTATTTATAAATTGTTGATAAATCATACCAGTGTTGCTGTGTTCAGGGACTGATACAAACTGGTTACCATCTTTTGTTAATGAGCATTAAACAGTCATAACGTGACCTACTACAAATATCGACAGGCCGGAGAAATTCGTTTGAAATATTCAAAAGTAATGTTGTCGGCTATTCAATAAATGTTTAAGAAATCGTAGATTGCTTAATAGATTACGTAAAATGGCATTGAAGTTTAAAATTAATTAATTAATAAACACGGTGAATATCATAATTTATTCATGGTTTAAAGCAGTTTTAAAAGACGTTTCGCTTGCATTTGTGCCAGCCATTTGCAAGGCGGATGGTTGGGTGTCAAATTGGGATCTTCCAGGTTTTACTTCTTGTGTTTTGCTTAAATTAAGAAGCGTTTTTGAATGATTTTGCCGAGTATTTAAGAGGCAAAGTTATCAAAGCCTAGGGCCGGTTCCGGTTGGCAAAATCTTTTCGAGAAAGTTTTTAATGATTATTTTGTTAAATGTTTTAATCTATTTTAATGAAATTTGTAAGAATGGGTAAAATAATTATCAGACTTTTTTTCCGGCCCAGCGAGCAAGAAGCTGGTTTTTTTGCAAAAAATCTCTCATCTCATAATTTCTTGAGGCTCTCAACTTTGCACACAACGAGCTGGAAAAATTTTCTGAAATTCTGAAATTTTCAGGGTTATTATTCATTATAGTATATAAAAATATTTACATTCCTACAGCATTCCGATGTGGTGAGAAATATCAATAATCCACAATGGTTTAATAAAAAAAAATTKWCCAACTTTAATWCAAATTTCGCTCTAATTTTGCTGTACAATTTCTGTATTTTTGAGTAACTTTGMGCTTGCAATTGCTAGTKGTTCTATGGCCTGTTCGCACTATAAACGTTGGTAATTAAACTATAATTTACGTAAACCCATTATCCGTAGTTCCAAGATGTTCAAGCAATGTTGCTTTTGAAGATATCGTTCTGTTTTTCTTTTGAGACGGGGACTCCCCATTTTATTAGTGGTCGAGGTGTGCCCTGTACAAACGGCCGCAAAAAACTGCTGGTTTATGTAAAAGGGTCGGGTTTATTTGTGTTGTTAATTGACTATGCTCTTTTATCTACATAATTGCGTTCATGATATATAACTGATATAAATGAGAGCCCGTACAGGTCATTTTTAAAATTAGCAAACATGTGCCATGTAGTGGTGCGTATCTGTATAAGATTCCGGGAAACGACGTGGGAAAGTGTATTTTTTCGGAATTGGGATTTCCGTAAAAAATTAGAGGAAAAACCCTAGAAATCAGATAAATAAGAGGTTTTTGGGGCATTAAACAATTGAAATGTATTGCAAATTGTTCTACTTTGTGTTCTGAGAATTCTTAACTTAAAAAGCGCTGGAACTTTTTTGCTTTTTGAGCCATAGTAAAAATCCTGAGACTGAAACAGGGAGAATGAGATTCTAAAGAAGTGAAATATTGCGATTAGGAAATATTTATCTATTATTTAGGCAGTTTTGTGTGAAAATTGCCACTGTTTCTTAACTCAGGTTTCCCTCAGCCCCACATGAGCTGACATCAGCTTAGTCTAGACGATGGGAGTTTTCTATCAAAACTGCGAATATTTTCCTAAATGATTCTTCTTTCCTTGATAAATGTGTGACTTAATATTTTATCCAGTGATGTAAAAAACTCGCAAGGTCAATTTGTTCCTGAAATTTATGGAAACTGGCGGCATTATGTTTGAAACAATCATGTCTTTTTTTTTAAACAAATCCAGGTTCACTCAGAAATTCATCAATGAAAACATCGAAGCAACGAATGGATTAAATGATTTAAAAGCAGTGAAACGCTTGAAAAAAAATATGCAATGCGATTTTTTTTTAAATTGTAGGAAACGAGACGCTCTAGTCCGAATAGTACTTGAAATATGACCAAAAAAGTGGTATCATGTTTGAACCAATAGTCCAATTTTTCCAAAACCGCAAAGCAATAAAAATGATGTTGGAATTTCGGGTTAATGTGCCATTTAATTATCTATCCAGTCGTGTAGGAATGAACGCGCTGGTTCAAATTGTTCCAAAGGTGTGAGCAAAAAGGTGGCATCATGTTCAAAACTTTTCCGATGACTGTATCTTTGTTGACATTATTCTGATTAAAGAGTCTAAAGCAGAGTCTTAAATCGTATTGTTTTATCGACTTCAGCACGTCTCATGCTGAAGAATTATATTGATTTTTCAACTACTAATGAGAACGCCTTTTTCCCAAAGTTTCAAACTTTCTAAGCTCAAAGTCTTCTAAGACATCCGAACTCAGTTGCAGAGCGTCTGAAAATGTTATTTTCATTTAGATTTCATGAAAATTTGGCTGTTGAAACTGTTGCCAATTTTTTTAAAATGCCTCCAATATTTATGGATTTCTGGTCATTTTAATGATGGAAGCACCTTATACATAAATGTTTTCAAATCAGAGGCTAAAAATTGATTATTCCGACGGTAGAAGCACGTTGGTCGAAAAAGAAAACAAAGGCTGGTTCTAAACTGCTTAACTAAAATTATCAGTTCAACATTGTTGAAATGAGACATTTTTTCAGATTGCAGGTTTTTGGTCTCGGAGATTTTAAACTTTTTAAAATCCAATTTGATAAAAAGTTTTAGTTCGCTGGGACAGTTTTCCAGAAAAATGAGTTTTAACAAATTTCTGGACAATTACAGAGACAACAAAATGCATCTTTAAAGTTAATGATTTTGGACCATTTATGCCTTTGCCTGTAAAACAATAAGACGCAAAGGATACGACAAACAATAAACCGTCGCCCAATGTTTACAACTTTTAACTTCCTCACAGAAAGGTAATTATTTGTTGTTCTAATTCGCTGCTCTTTAAAATTTATCTAATGTTTAGTTCCATTTGTGACTGGTGTAATAAACTGGCTAAAAAATAGGATCCAAAGTCAAAAAAGCATCGAAACAATATTATCCTGTTCGCAAACATTTTCAAACGTTTATAAAAAGTGTGCGAAACTAAATATTTAGCGTTTCCAAACATAATTATGGAAAAAGTCGGAATACAACTACGAATGTTGAACATGAAGAGCGAGACTTAGAGGAGTTGAAAAAAGTTGCAATTATTAACACAGACAAAATCCTGTTTCCACTCACATACAAAATAAACAAATTGTTGTACAAAATAACTGTTGCTGTTGTAGTTGTGGTTGGTACAAAATTCTATACTTTTAGGGCAAACCTTTTACGAAGAAAAACGTTCTTTAAGGGCGTCCAGACTCTTAAATCTCTTTTTCGGTAATATTTATACTTTTTCTCCCCTTTAATCGCAGTATTTCAACCTCCCAGCAAGCGGGTTTTACAGTTAACATTGGGATGACTTTTCGAGACTCAAACCTCAGACTAAATGGAATCCGGTTTTTCTCGCGATATTTCAGATAAAAACCCTCATTTGACAACGTGGTGCCGCCTTCTCACTAAAACGTACAGAGCCGGAGTTTTTTCGTTAGTGTGTTATTCAATCCGCACAAGTTTGTGTCGGTAGCGGGCAGTTCTGGTGCGCGAATACGATCGCGCCAAACCAATTTAATTTTAATTTTCGTGTATGTTTTGACTGTATTTTAATTTTTGTTATGATATGAGAAAAAACTGCCTCAGCATGAATGCCAAAAGTGTCTTAATGGTGATTTGTTTACATGTTTTATTTATGAGAACCAAAGTATTTTGTTTCAACATCGAGGATCGGGATCCGAAAGTTAAAAAGGCCCCTGAAGGGCAGAAGAATGCATATTTTGGGTTTAGTGTTGCGCTTCATCAGACGATGGCGAATAGTGTTTCTACAGCCGATAATTGGTGAGTTTTTTCAAAGAAAAAGTTGCCAATTTTTATGTTTTTTTAGAGTTTTATTCAATTAAAACAATAGAGAAAAATGTCATTATCTTAAAGCGCGTTTCCGAAAAACCAAATGATTTATTGATGGAAATGGAGATTGAGTCTATTTCCAATAAAAACAATTTTCAAAATAAAGTATCTCATTTATATAACATTTTTTTAGAATTCGATTCCGTGACTGTAAGTCGATTTGCTCTATTTAGTCGAGAAACAAAAAAAACTAAATCAATTGTGACCACCGTGTACATTATTGTAATACGTTTTTGCATACTACAGGCACAGGATCAAAGCAAGCCGGTTTAATGGATTTTATCTTACTGAAAAATTAATCCGTTTGAAAATTTTGAAAAAGTTTTTTTATCTATTTCAAACTACTTATTGCGAAGTTGAATTGAATAAATTATCTGAAAAAAATGCAGTTCCATAATCGTTGTAGCGAATGTTGTATTTAAATATGTGGTAAAATCGAGCTAATTTATCTTCTGCGAAAAAACGAATTCTTCATGAATCTCGATTGCTTCAAGCCCTTCTACGTAATTCGGTTATAAACGATTGTTTCTCGCATCTACAACTAATATAGATGGTTGCATATTAATTTATGTAATTAATTTAACTAAGTAATACCTTTGTAAATTTTGTTTAATGAAATAAATCGAATAATAAAAATAATCCAATTTACGTTTCGACCATTTTTCATACAAAATTTAATTTGGCGAAAAAAATTATTTTGATTTTAATTTGTTATTTTTAAGTTTAAGTTAAGTTTATTACCAAAAAATCATCATTTTTTAACGTTTTTATATTAATTTTCAATTCCTTGATGAAATAATTCCCAAAATTAAATAAAAATTGCAACAGAAACTGGTGCGTTTTCTTCCTAACGTTTCGCAACTGCGAATGGCTTGCATCCTCAAACAAAACAACTAAGAATTTATGTCCACAATATTAATACAACTGTGTTAATAAAACACTTGAGGTGAGATGATATGAGCACAAAAATCAATAATAATAAATTGTCTTAAAAATTGTTTACATTCTTCTTGATCCTCTTCCAAGTATTTTATTATAACTAATAGTTTGATATAAATTAAATGAGGCTTAAATCAATTTAATAAACAACAAAACTTCTATATTTGCATATATTCATCATATTTATAAATGTTTCACAGAGAGTCGAAAATAAGGAACCGAAATGGATTTTTGAACATTTTTCAAATTTTCGTCGCTCACGAATGAATGAGAAATTCAATTGCTCTAAATATTCGATTCTTTTCCTAAGTGTTTTAAAAACTTGAGACTTATTTAGGTTTAGTTGTTTCTTGTAGAAAATGGCTTGCATTTTTAAAAATTTTGAGTTGATCACCGAGTTAGTTGTATTTCGAATTTTTCGAACATATTTTGCTTACAATTTCTTAATCTTGCAAGGTTTAAAATTATATTTAAGGAAGAATTACACCGACACCTGCTATCTTATCAGGAAGATAGTCAAAATTAAAATAAATAAAATACTCGGGTTGGTTTGCTTGTTCATGCTATAAAATTACTTTGTAGTCATTTTTGCACCGCTTCGTTAATCAGGTTTGGTTCTTAATTTTGAAATGTTCAATTGAGAATTCATCTTAAAAAGTTATATCCTGTTCGTTTTCCAAAGAACAAAAAATCACATTTGAAACACTTTTAAATTTTTTAGTTTAATCGAAGTGCATAAACTGAATTTTTATTTACTAATTTCACAAGATTGCAAATAATTGAATAAATTGCAAGGCACATAACACTGCTTCGGATTTATGGTTTTAATTAGCAATATAAAATATCCTTCGCCCGGTTCAACCAGTTTATTTTCTTGCATTTTCTCGTTCTGTTTTTATTCAGTTTATCTTTATTACATCTCGGCTCAGATGAGGCTGGGAAGCTCTCATTATCTTATTATAAATTGAAGGTAAGATTGCAAGGTGCTTATTAGTAAAATGGAAATGTTTGAATATACACACAAGTATTTGTACGTAATAATGAGAATTGAGATTTCCTGGAATTTCACTGACTTGCTTAAGTAAAGATGGTTTTATTCGCTTCATTACATATTTGCTTAGTTTGGTGTTTTAATTAACTGCAAATATTTTAACACAGCAACAAATGTTTAAATTTCCCACGGTTGCCATTAATAAAAGCGTTTGACAATGGGGCCAAATAAAAGGAAAAAATGTGGGATTAAACTGGGAAATTCCATATCGTCTGTATTTATTTTCACGGATTTTTGGTTTCACAATCATCAATTTGTTCTTCACTATGAAGCATGCTTTCTCAATACAATCTATTTGYCAATGACAATAAAACTGATCATTTCAGCTAATAAAAGCGCAATCTCTTGTACCTTTGAATGTAGCTTGCTCGAATTTGCATACAATTCAAATTACWGCAAAATACAATGCGGGCTTCAAAATATCCAAATGCTAATTTTATGATTAGCTGTTTCGATTTGAAGTTGCTGCTGTTGTCTGGTATTTATAGGATCTTACAATGGCATTAAATTAGGTAGATGACCATATAATCTGGGTAGTTGAATTTCTGTAAATTGTTCTTTTTTATTTCCTTTATATTTCTTATTATTTATTTCAAAGTATCAATCTAAAGCCCATTTTTCTTTTGTATTTGGGCATTGAAAGCGCGTAGCTGTAATTTCATGCTTTGTATGAAAGTTTCTGGTCTCAAAAACTCATGTTTTTAATGTTTCATRTTTTCAAYTATAGGATCACTCGAATTTTTTGCTCAATTTTCTACCACTAATAAGAATGTAAAGTGGAAAACACTGAAAAGCTGGGAAACTATGATCCATTTTAAAACGACGACTTTGTGATTTTTTTAAGTGTTGTTTCAGATACACGCTTTTGCTTTTTTAGGCATATAATTAATAACACCACAAGTTTTACAGTTTGCATGTAGGTACCTACCCACTATTAAATCTGAAATAAATTAATATAATAATAATAATAAAATTATTGTTTCCCTTTAAAATAGGTACTTTTAGTCCACTTGTTGATAGTGGCATTGAATATATAAATACCGGCCGAAAATAATCTTTAATATGGATCAGATCAACAGAAATTAGAGTTAAAAGCAGAAGCGTGATTAAACGCAAAGCTATTTTGAAAATTGAGTTCAATGGCTGCAATTTCTCCTATCGCGACTTTATGCCAGTCGGCAGTTAATTCTACTCAACCAATAAATGAACAAAAAACCCTACATAAGAACGACAAACCATAATTCTTAAATTAACGACTTTATCTTCGTGTTTCTTGTGCATGGGAGAGTGTTTGTGGCCAGTATTTTATCCTTATAGTGACACGACTATTAAAAGTCACCCAGGGATAGATTGATGATTTATACAGTGTTTTATTGCGTTTTTAGGTAAAAACAGCGCAAAATTAAAGTCCTCTGCTAGGTCAACACTCCCCATAAAACAATAGAGTTACTTAATACAAAACAGTCGTAAAAACCGCAGTGCCGAGCTCATTTCAGATCAACACATCATAATCCGAATGTTTAGACGAATAATAATCGTACACTTGGTATATATAATTAGCATGGCAAAATGCACAGAAAATTCTAAAAATATCTATAGATTGTGAACATTCTGCAATCGAGTAAAACACCAGGGCAAATTTAGATTGTTATTAATAGACCACTTATTTCTTTGCAAACCCTACGTTAAGTAGCCGGGCTGGGAACTACGGTTGAGTGAATAGATTTTTTTATTTGGCTTTTTGCCCCTGAAGCTGCTAAGTTCAAAAAGGTAGCATAATCAGAACATTCAGTGGCCGCTAAGACAAACTAGCGTATTTTCAGGTTGTTCTTTGTTTTAGTGAACTCAGAGATTTTTTTAATTAATTTTTCTTTGATCTTAACGAAAGTGGAGTTGGCATCGAATTTTTCACTTTAATCCAACGGTTTAATGAAACAATTTAATTTTCCATGGGTATTAAGTGGTAAATTATGGAAGTAAATTAACAGGCAGCTGAAGGATTTTGTTCCTTCAGCTTTAGTATGTTCCGCATGCCCTGAGGAATGATCATAAACTATCTCTACGTACATTTATTGTAGGAACTTAACTAGAAAATACCTTTTCAAAACGCCTCGATAATTAAAATGTTCCTTATAGAGGAAAGTAACGTTGAAACCTAATTATTCTGTTTGCAAGATGCTGAAATCTAACCAGTATGAGGTATTCTACAAACGGCATTCCACTACCGATGTATCTTGAATAATTATCATTACTGTATTTAAAATTGATTTAAAACGCATTGTCAGCGGTTACCAGGTGTTCATATTCATCTAGTAATTAAACTAGCCGGAATTCAACATGCATGTATTCACATGGGCGTTTCAGTACCAGATTTACCTGCTGTAGAAAGTACCATTTCAAAGAACTCGCTTTACAAGCTGAAAAACACAATACGGGAACGTGGGATGTTGGTAGACGCATAAAGAGACTAGGGGAGTGTTGGTTTACATGGTGTTAGATGAAAAGTTTTGAAGAATTCAGTGGGTTAAACAAGAGTTTTGCGCGAAATTGAACAGCCGTGTTTATTTATCTACTATAGTAAATCAAATAGACTTACTTTCGATGCGAAGCTGATTATAGAGCCGATAATAAGTCGSAAATATCTTTCAAAGCATAAATAGCTTACATAGTTTTTTTTTGATAATTGGTTGATATGTTTTATTACTTTCAGTTTATGCGATTARTTATTAAGCCGATCATTAGCTAATAAATATGTTGATATCGAAATATTGCTGGAAATGTGAGTTRACTATGGCAGAATTGAATAAAACGCGTAATAAACATATAAACTGCTCAACAAAATCACACCTKACTAATTTGGACCAATTTTGCCAAATTTTTTGTCTGTTTGAAGCCTTATTTAGTGCGATTTTTTTCGGTTAGCGCGTGGTTTTGCAAAAAA